CTCCTGACCTCATGGTCCACCCTCCTCGGCCTTCCAAAGTGCTGGGATTACAGGCATGAGCCACCATACCCGGCCTAGTATTTTATTTTTAATTATATTTGGGAAGAGACCTCATGATTTTCTCAGTGCCCAAGGTTTCTGAAGGTCTTCATCTAGTCCTGCTAAGCTAGTAGGAAAAATAATAATAACATTCTCCTAAAAACTTGATTCCTCTTTTGTTTTCTCTGATATGTATTCAGGTATCCAAGAAAAAAATCTGGGAGCTGCCCCCAACTTCTTCTTCTTCCCAATCTTCCACACCCAGTCATCTTTGTATTTGACAAAGATGATTACTGCCTAAATGAGAAGAATGGCCTGACAGGACAGAATGGGGTATATAACTGGAGACCAGCTAGAAAGCTGTAATACAACTGGAGATAATGATAATCTGAACTGAAGTGTAGTAGAGGAGACTGAAAGATGTGGAAAAAAAGACATGAAAAGGGGGCTATCTATGAAACTTGGAAAGTAAACATGTGAGATAAAGAGGGAGTTACTGAGGAAAGTTCCCTTACTTTTGGCTTGAAAACCAGTTAGATGGTGGTGCTATTCATTAAGAGAACAAGAGAATATTGGAGCTTGGGGAAAATAATACGATGGATTGATTTTTGTATATCCAAATGGAAATTTCCAGTGGGCAGCTAACTACTAGGCCTGAAACTGGAAAGAAACTTGGGCTACGGATAAGATTTTATGAATTATCAGCAGATAAACGGTAACTAAAGCCACTGAAGAAAGGAGCATGGGAAAATGAATAATAATAAGAAAATCAGTTCAAGTAGTATGTGCTCAGTGGTTGAATATCGCCAATAACAAGAACATTAACAGTAATATATGTTACTGGCCATACAACAAGAACAGACAGGGCCGGGCAGGGTGGCTCTCGCCTGTAATCCCAGCACTTTGGGAGGTGGAGGTGGGTGGATCACAAGGTCAGGAGTTCAAGACCAGCCTGACCAACATGGTAAAACCATGTCTCTACTAAAAATACAAAAACAATTAGCCAGGTGTGATAGCACACACCACTGTACTTCAGCCTGGGCGACAGAGTGAGACTCTGTCTGAAACAAAACGAAACAGACCATGTACCTTCTAAAGACTTTCCTCACATATTTTTTAAAAATTAAAATCCTTTAAACTTACTATTATCATGACATTTTACAGTCCAGAAAAACCAAGGCACAGTATAATGAAGTAATTTGCCTGAAATTACACATCTAGTTAAATGGTGAAACCAGGATTTGAAGACAGGTAGTCTGACTCCAGGACTTTGTTCTCAACCCTATACAAACCTCACAGTAATTCCTGAAGGTAGATATTTTTACCTATACTTTATAGATTTAAAACAATGAGGCTCAGAGAAATTAAATAACTTGTAACTTAGTAAGGTAGCTTACATGTAGTGGGCCTAAAATTGAAATGTAAAGTTCATATTGTTTCAAATCTCAGAGTGTAAGTAGGGATTTATAATTCTCTTATGATCTTTTACAATGCCTAGATTAGTATTAAATGTGTATTTAAAGAACAGTATTGGGGCCGGACGCGACGGCTCATGCCTATATTCTCAGCACTTTGGGAGGCCAAGGTGGGCAGATCACAAGGCCGAGATTGAGACCATCCTGGCCAACATGGTGAAACTCCGCCTCTGCTAAAAATAGAGAAATTAGCTGGACGTGGTGACATGCTCCTGCAGTCCCAGCTACTCAGGAGGCTGAGATAGGAGGAAGAGGTTGCAGTGAGCCAAGATTGCGCCACTGCACTCTAGTCTGGTGAGAGACAGAGACTGTCTCAAAAAAATCAAAACAAAAAAACAGTATTGGGTCAGACACAGTTGCTCAAACCTGTAATCCCAGCACTTTGGGAAGCAGAGGTGGGTGGGTGGATCACCTGAGATCAGGAGTTCAAGACCAGCCTGGCCAAAAAGGTGAAACCCCATCTCTACTAAAAAATATAAAAGTTAAGCTGGGCGCGGTGGCTCAAGCCTGTAATCCCAGCACTTTGGGAGGCCGAGGCGGGTGGATCACGAGGTCAAGAGATCAAGACCATCCTGGTCAACATGGTGAAACCCAGTCTCTACTAAAAATACAAAAAATTAGCTGGGCATGGTGGCACGTGCCTGTAATCCCAGCTACTCAGGAGGCTGAGGCAGGAGAATTGCCTGGACCCAGG